AAGCCAAGTGATAACTGTGTGCATGCAGCATTACCGTCGATCTGCCACCCTTTTTATAGATCACAAACCTGCCACATATTTATAGGGATAGTTCTTTCAGAAATGAAAATTCTGTCACATTTACTCACCCTCATATTGTTCTAAACCTGTATGACTTTCTTATTACTGTAATATTGTTTTTCAACGTTGAGGATGAGTAAATGACAAAATTTTCATTTTTGGGTGAACTACACCCAACTGAGTTCCATATTAAATCTATCCACTTTATATACACATATACAGCTGCAGACATACAAATGATTAAACATTTGGCTTTTGTTTACAACATGGTCAACTGTCACCTGCCACAGTTTGTTTACTTAGATCTCAAATGGCGAATGAAACTGAGAGTGTCCATTATTTTGCTCTGCCAAAGCTGGTACACAGAAGTGTCAGACTGATTAAGAGGCTGGCCAGTCAAGAACTGTGATGCATAGCGAGGAAGACAGAGAACGACGACATAGCATAGGCATCAAACAGCTGCCATATGAGCCTCTTCACACTGCACATCGGAGCAGCAAAGACCTAGAGCTCTGAGTCAGCACTTCCATGCAAATCTGGCCTTAGTCTAAGCAGAGTGCAGCAATCTTCCTCATCTACAGTGTGCAAGGAAGGTCTCAGAGCACCAATGCACTGCAGCATTGGCTGGCTACTGGTGAGTGTTATCTCGAATAACAGATCTTTGTTAGCGAAAACACCCTAAACGTGTCTAGAATGCGTTACAATACATACAGTGGGTACGGAAAGTATTCAGACCCCCTTAAATTTTTCACTCTTTGTTATATTGCAGCCATTTGCTAAAATCATTTAAGTTAATTTTTTTTCCTCATTAATGTACACACAGCACCCCATATTGACAGAAAAACACAGAATTGTTGACATTTTTGCAAATTTATTAAAAAAGAAAAACTGAAAAATGCTCAGTATTTAGTAGAAGCACCCATTTGATCTAGTACATTAATGAGGAAAAAAAATTAACTTAAATGATTTTAGCAAATGGCTGCAATATAACAAAGAGTGAAAAATTTAAGGGGGTCTGAATACTTTCCGTACCCACTGTATACAATGACAAAAACATTCTCTCTTCCCACATATATGTGTGCATATTACAGCTCCAGGCATGGGCGGGTGTTTAAGTGTATAATGTTAGCTCTAAATAAGACGTTCCTGTTTGACTGCTGGAGGGTTTGCTGGAATGAGGGACCGGAGTGGGAATGGAGACAGATGAGGGAGAAGAGGTGAATTCTTTGGCTTTAAACCATGCTATTACAGCCGAGCGATACGAGCCAAGCCCTCCACAGGAGAAACATCATGTGACAGGGAGGAACAATGCATCCAGATCTCTACATTGCTGAGGCGTTATTTTGGGATTTTGGCATTGCTCTTGCTCCTCAGTGTAGAGCAGCTCAATGTCTGGCATGCCTTGCATTTTAGCCTTGCATCTCTGTAATGGACTGTGAAATACAGCCATATTTATGTCCAGTGACCTCACTTTTAAATTTAATGAATAAAAAAAAAAATATGAATAAACAATAAAAAAAAAAATTTTATTGGAAAAATCCACAAAAAGGTTTTCTTGTGTAATACAAAAAGTCCCAAACAATAATGTAGTCGTACTATGGCACGATGATGTATCAGATGTTAATACCATGGTATTTTGATTTATATACTATTATAGTATTTATTTATATTTCGACTTAGCTTTTGTTTTTAGATTTTCATATTTCATTTTAATTTTCTTTTTAAGTTTTAGTCATTTTGTAATGTGCTTCGGTAATTTTTTTAAAGTTTAATTTTTTTTCCAGTTTTAGTAATTTTAGAGCTTATTTCAGTTAGTTAGCCAAGGCCATGTTTCTGATTTTTTTAAGTCTGCTTTTCATCTAATATTTATATTTTATTTTATTTTATTTTATTTCAGCTTTATTTAAATTACCTATTTATGTTTTTACCTATGTTACCTATGTTTTTAAATATTATAAAAAATTTTGGAACATAGTTGAGGGAATACCTGTTTAACATACTGCACTGCTTAAAGGGGTCATATGATGCTTTTTTAAAGATCATTATTTTGTGTATTTGGTGTAACAGAATATGTTGACATGCTTTAATGTTCAAAAAACACATTATTTTTCAAATACTGTACATTATTGTAGGTCCTCTATGCCCCGCCTCTTTCAAACGCTTCATTTTCTAGCCATTTTAGGGGGGCGTGGCAGAGTCTTAACTTTGATAAAGAATATCTCTTTGGTTTTGAGACTTTAGTCTTTGCAACTTCAGGGATCTTATCTATGCACAATCAGCTTGTAACACTCCAAAGAGAAAGGAAAACTTGAAATCGCATCATATGACCCCTTTAACAAATGTATCATGTGGGAAACCCCGGCAAACCATTCCCCCAAGCTACCTCAAATCTTCTACAGGGTCAGTCAAGGGAAAACGAATGAAAAGCTGAAGTATGTACACATCTTAGCCAATTGGCCCTAGATCCATTTCAGTGAAAAGCCCAGGGAGTCTGCATGAATTCACTCTTTCACAATGAAAATAATCAGAACAATACAATATGGCTCTGGGTCACTGGTCTAGACTTGGTTGGCGATGGAAGCGAAGGAAATATGAATGAATCATTAATTATGTGTCTTGCACGGTTATGCATACATTTCTCTTGAGGACTGGGACATTCCAGGGGGTTTCGCATAAAATTGCAACTTAGCGGCCTTGTCCCAACATACATGAGATTCTCATTATGTTGTAGTACATTGTGACTGCCTCAAGGCTCCAATTACGATCTATCAACGATGAATGTGGAATCCTCATCACTGTTCTTACCTAAATCATCAGTGGCTGATGTGTCCTCTGAAATTGTCTTTATGAACTGTCCACAGATGCTGAGGAAAACCAGAGCAACCAACCAAATTTATCTCCTCATTGCATATCAGTTACAAAGTAATGCCAGACTTCCAGCCTCCTTCTTGAAATACGAACGCCATAAAAATGTGTTAGTGTGTCATAAAGAAGCAAGACACGCAGTCCCTTGTGAAGCTAAATTTGACCTCGGTGACAATAAACTGTGACTTTGGTCTCCATGCCAGTGACTGTCACAGCGGCGTACATTGAAATGTGAATGAATGAGTGAGTGTGTGCTAATGAGCTCATGAGTGAGTGACCTATCCAGTCGGTCTTTAAATAGTCAAGTCCAAAAAGGGGACAAACACAATGCGCAGCCGTTTCCCCAACCGTATGACATCATGTGTCCAGCGGAGTTTCCTGATGCTGCCCTACTGAGACTCCCCACAGGAAAAGGCGCTTCGCATAAGCACACATGCACAATGACGCACAATAGCTCAAAAAATCTCAAAAACGTCCTGACCTGAGTACGACAACAATGACCAGCACTGCCATCTCTACGAGTCTAACTAAGTCACTTGAAGGCATGTTTGATTTGCATTTTCATTAAAATCACAGGACCAGAAGATTGTAAACAAAACAACAAACTACAGAGGGACTGTGCTGTGAATTGGCACTGCATTCAGACGATGGTCAACGAATTTAAACGCGTGCTGTTTGTTGCATTCTATTCATTTCACAGAAAGTTACATAACATGACAGCTGGTTATGCCAAACTTTTTAGAAGGCCATTCATTCTGCTCCATTTTAAACTAGCAATTAGATCATTTACAGATGGAGGATGAACTCTGCCACATAAAAGTTTGCCTATTTGTCTTAATGATTCACATCTCATTTGTTCCAATAGTACTAGTGGTTTTGGACGTGATGCAGACAGATATCAGCCTGGATGCAAGAAGTTTGCTCTAGAACAGGGGTCTCCAAACTCAGTCTTGCAGAGTTTAGCTCCAACTTGACTCAACACACCTGCCTGGAAGTTTCTAGTATGCCTAGTAAGACATTGTTTAGCTGGTTCAGGTGTGTTTAATTAGGGTTAAACTCTGCAGGACACCGGCCCTCCAGAGACCCCTGGTCTAGTTGCTGTTCCATACCATCACTCTGAATTTTGCTGTTGCTGTTGTTAGGCAAGGCAAAGACAAGACAAGTTTATCTGCAGTTCATGCAGTGGTAAATCTAAGTGCTTTAAAGAAATTTAAAATTAAAAAAATTAAAATAGTAATCATAAAAAGGTTAATAATCAATAAAAATACAATGAAAAGTAAAAGAATAAAGAAATAAACTAATTAAAAATGTGAAAAATAGACAAGAGTTTTTTTTTTTTTTTTTTAGATGAACATTTATGCTTTATGAAGTGCCTTCAGCACTGGCTAAAAACTGTATAGAAAGAAAACATTATTATTCATAGTAACGCGGTCAGTTGCGTGACACAGCTGGTCATGTGATCTCAACATGCCGGCGTCCATGAAGGAGAGACCCGAGTCATGTGAATAAACCAGCTTTTTCTTTAAGACTGATTGCTCTGGAGTCTTTTTCATTTGTAAACTTTAAAAGTTAGCAAAACATTACTGAGTGCACCTTTAGCTACTGCCTGAGAATTAATTAAACACATTAAACACCAAAATAAACATTAACAATAATATGTACAGAACAGTCAAGCCATCAAAAAAAGAATATGCATGCTATCCTGCTGCCGAACAAGCACAGAGGCCATAAATAAATTAGTTTGTTTAGCTGTGGCCCAAGTCAGAATGAAAGCCCACTGCACTGTATCCACCTTGTTTTGAGCAGTAAGCAGGAAGACTCATTAAGGTGAGCTTCACATTCCACATTCGTGCACAAACCAGTCCAGCGATGATGTCATCTTCATTTCTGTTCCCCCCTCGAAAACAACTCAATGAGTTTTCCCGTACAGCAACTTTAGTCTGTTAAGCAGCTGGTAAACGGCAGACAATGAAACAATAGTTTGTTTGCCTCTCGCACGTCACAGTGAATAGCTACCCAACTGACGTGCGGGACGCGTGAAAGACCAGGCGTGCAGTGCATGAAATATGTCTTACCCCAGTCTAGGAACTCCAGGATGTTTTTCTCTCTTCTAAGGGGAGAATTATTGCACTCATCATACAGACAAACAAGAATATCCAGCAAGGTCTCCACGCTGAAGCACTGGCCGCTGGACTGAGACGGGCCATCAAGAATCAGCTTCTCCAGTTTCTTCAAACGCACCTCTCCAGACATGGTTTCAGTTGCTGCTGATGTCTCACAGTATGGTCAGTTTTTGCTCCCACGGTAGCAAATGCGACCGGCCAGTGGCACACTTGAGTGAACGCTCCAAAAAACTTAAAGGCTCAAAAAATATTGTAAAGCCTAATCATGGTCCCTCTCGCACCGATGCGTCCATATCAATCCACAACATCATGATTTCGCAGTCCTTAGATGCAGAGAACTTGCAGCCATCGACCCTGCCCTGGCCGGTGGATTTGACGTATATAACCTAGGCTTATGTATTCCCGATTTCAGCTTCTCTTTTAAAGGACACTTTTCACACAACAAGTCACCAAAGAAGTTTAAAGTAATCCCCTGAGATATGGTGATATCTGTGGTTATCCATTATGCAGTAACAAAAGCGCATCAGCAGCACGGGATCTGCATTGCTACAAAGCCCCATATGCCCCTCCTCTGGCAGGACTGCGAAAGCCCTAGCAAGCTGTTTTTCCTTTAAATTCCTCTCTTCGTATATACAAAACGCTGGCGGAAGGAGCGAGCCTTGCTTTCGAAAACCGTCATGCACTTGTCGAGAGAAGCTTTGCGGCGAGGGGCTGAAAATAGGCGTCTTCGTTCATGTCGGGTGGAGGACTCCGCTGCTGCCTTCCCCTGCTCCGCTCCCGGTCGCCGTGTGTATGTCTCTCACAGCTCGCTGCTGCTGCTGCTGCTGCAGGCAAAACCCGACATCATCATGGCGACCGTCACGGCATCTGCTGCAGGGAATGGAGGGATATGCTGGAGGGAAATAGCAGAGTACTGTATACTAGTGAAGGGTGTGCGAATTATCCCACAATTATTCGTTGACCTTCAAGGGGGAGGGCTGGTGGTGGACCTTTTTAAGGGATTTCTGTTAGTCATTTGCTGTTGAGGTTCGTTTCGCGCAAGCCAAATTGTCTTCTAGCGCAGTGCGCTAACCGTCAACTGTTTTAAAAATGACAAAACACTTGTTTTTTTTTTGTTTGTTTTTTTGTGGTAAATAAATAATAATGTGAAAATGGCAGGACTTTTTTTGTTGACGTACGTCAGCTGGTGACGGAAAAACCTCGAGCAACGTACTGTTGCTATGGTTACCAATGCAGGCGAACGCGACTTCTGTTCTTGAGCGTCTATTTATCGCACTATTTGTACGCTAACTTTTTATTTATTTATTTATTTATTGTTATTTATACCTTTGAAAATGCTCTTTAAGTGTGTGTTTTATAAGAATACATACTTTTACATACATTGTTTCAAGTTTGTTGTTTTGTTGTTAATTCGCACCTTAAGAGTACTTGAAATTCACACACACACACACACACACACACACACATATATATATATATATATATATATATATATATTCAGT